CTGGTTGTCGACGACTACACGCGCTACACCACGGTCTTCCCCTTGCAGCGCAAGGGGGATGTCCCTGATGTTTTGATCCCCTGGATCCGCGCTACTCGTCTCCAGCTCCGCGAGCGGTTCCAGTCGGACTTTCCTGTCCTGCGTCTGCACTCTGACAGAGGTGGTGAGTTCTCCTCAGAGCTCTTCGCAGCCTTCTGTGCGGAGCACGGCATCCGCCAGACTTTCACGCTTCCGGCCTCTCCGCAGCAAAATGGGGTTGCTGAGCGCCGCATTGGCTTAGTCATGGAGGTCGCTCGTACCTCCATGATCCATGCGGCTGCCCCCCATTTTCTGTGGCCGTTTGCGGTCCGGTACGCCGCGCATCAGCTCAACCTTTGGCCCCGTGTCTCCTTGCCGGAGACCTCGCCCACACTGCTGTGGACGGGGAAGGTTGGCGACGCGTCGCGTTTCCGGGTCTGGGGTGCTCGTGCCTTTGTCCGCGATACCACCGCGGACAAGCTCTCCCCTCGCGCCATTCCTTGCGTCTTCCTTGGCTTTGTCCCTGACGCGCCTGACTGGCAGTTTTACGACCCCGCCTCGCGCCGTGTCTTTGCGTCTCAGGACGTCACCTTTGACGAGTCGGTCCCCTTTTACCGCTTCTTCCCCTACCGCACTGCTCCTCCCCCCCCCCCCCCGCCGCTCTTTCTCGCACCAGGTCCTCCCCAGGTAGACCCCCTCCCCGCGCCAGGTCCTGCTCCTTCAGGTGACTCTCAGGTAGACCCCCCCGCGCCTGCGCCTGTTGAGGTCACTGGTGACTCCGGTCCTGCTGGGAGTGGTGCTGTCCCTGGGGGTGCGGAGCTTGGGGGTGATGAGTCTGGGGGCGCTGAGCGTGTGGAGCCTGGAGGTGCCTCGTCTTGGGGTACTACGTCTGGAGGTGCTGCGTCTGGGGGTGCTGAGCCTGTGTGTGCTGAGCCTGGGAGTGCTGAGCCTGTTTGTGCTAAGCCTGGGAGTGCTGCGTCTGGGGGTGAGTTGCCTGAGGGTTCTGAGACTGCTGTTACGCGGTCTCCTTGGAGTAGCCGTCTTCGTCCGCGTGTGCCCCTCACCTCCCAGCAGCTGCACGACTGGTACGGTCGCCGTCGGCTTCCCACTTCTACACCTCAGGGCTCTCCTACTGGTGGTTCTTCTCCTGGTGTCGCTGGTCCCGGAGGTGCTCGTACTGGGAGTACTGGAGCTGCTGGGGCTGGTGGTGGTGCTGCTGGAGGTCCTGGAGGTGCTGGAGGTGCTGGAGGTGCTGGAGCTGCTGGAGGTGCTGGAGCTGCTGGAGGTGCTGGAGCCACTGGAGGTGCTGGAGCTGCAAGGGGTGCTGGAGCTGCTGGAGGTGCTGGAGCTGCTGGTGGCACTGCTCAGACGCGCCTGTTCTTTGCTCCGCCGTCTCCGTCGTCTCAGCCACCACCTGACTCTGCACTTCGCCAGGTTCTCAGTCTTCCCTCGTCTACTGGTCTTCCGTTACAGCCTGGCTCACCGCTGCCTGCTCCTTCTCCGTACACAGAGCAGCCTGGTGGCCTTGCAGAGCGTCGTGAGCCTGTGTCGCGGCCTGTCTCCCCTGTCAGTTCCGGTCGTCGTGTTCCTCGTCAGTGCCAGCCGGCTGTCTCCGGCCCTCCCCTTGTAGTTCGTCGTCCTTCCTCTCCTTCCCCGCGTGTTCCTCTGCCGCCTCCCCCTGCGTCCTCTCTGCCTGTTGTTGCTGACCCTGCGTCTGACCGGTTTCGTGCTAAGCACTCTACTGTCACGCGTCTGCTTGCCACTGTTGTCACTGACCCGTCGTTTGAGTCTGCTGCTGCGTCTGCCTTAGTCACTGAGCTTGTTGCCCTTGCTGCTCACTGTCGTCTAGACTACGCCGCCAGTCTTGTTGCTGAGTCTACGTCTGTTTGTCCTCCGTCCGTCGGGGGTGAGTGTGCTCTTGGCACGGACGTCCTTGAGGACAGGCAGGAGGACCTTGAGTGTCTTGCAGCTGCTGCGCCTCATCTCGTATCCATGCTGCTTGCCCCTGAGGGAGACCCGGATGCACCAGACATCCCTACCCCGCGCTCTTACGCTGAGGCGATCGCGGGTGAGTATTCCTCTCAGTGGCAAACAGCCATGGACGCAGAGATGGCATCGTGGAAGTCCACAGGCACCTACGTCGACGAGGTTCCCCCTCCTGGGGCGAACATTGTCAGTGGCATGTGGATTTTCAGGGTGAAGCGGCCGCCAGGTTCTCCGCCTGTCTTCAAGGCTCGTTACGTGGCTCGAGGCTTCAGTCAGCGAGAGGGAGTTGACTTCTTCCAGACCTTCTCCCCCACCCCGAAGATGACCACTCTTCGGGTGCTGCTGCACGTTGCCGCTCAGCGTGACTACGAGCTTCACTCTCTTGACTTCAGCACAGCCTTTTTAAAGGGCAGCCTGCACGAGGAGATTTGGCTGCGCCGCCCTCCTGGCTTCACTGGGTCGTTCCCTCCTGGTACCCAGTGGAGCCTCCGGCGGCCGGTCTACGGTCTCCGCCAGGCGCCACGTGAGTGGCACGACACACTGAGGACGACACTTGCGGCTCTTGGGTTTGCTCCGTCGACTGCTGACCCGTCGCTGTTTTTGCGCACCGACACTTCGCTGCCGCCGTTCTACGTTCTCGTGTACGTCGACGACTTGGTCTTTGCCACTGCTGACACTGAGGCTCTCGCCCTGGTGAAGTCGGAGCTGCAGAAGAGACACACGTGCACAGACCTGGGTGAACTGCGCAGCTACCTTGGCTTGCAGATCACCCGGGACAGAGCACGCCGCACCATCACACTGACTCAGTCACACATGGTGCAGCAGGTCCTTCAGCGCTTCGGTTTCACCTGGTCCTCAGCACAGGCCACTCCTCTGGCTACAGGTCACTCGCTCTCAGCTCCACCTTCGGACGAGTCCGTAGAGTCGAGTGGTCCTTACCCAGAGTTAGTGGGCTGCCTCATGTACCTGATGACTTGCACTCGTCCTGACCTTGCGTACCCTCTTGGCCTTCTGGCTCGCTACGTGGCTCCTGGTCGGCACCGAAAGGTGCACATGGATGCTGCCAAGAGGGTACTACGCTACTTGTGCAGTACATCGGGCATGGGGCTCGTGCTTGGAGGACGGGGTGACGTTGTCCTCACTGGTCACTCGGACGCTTCTTGGGTTGACGACCAGGCTACGCAGCGGTCGTCACAGGGTTACACCTTCAGCCTTGGCTCTGGTTCAGTTTCTTGGCGTTCTACACGCTCGTCTTCAGTTCTCGGCTCCAGTTGTGAGGCTGAGATCTACGCCACAGTCATGGCTGCATAGGAGCTTCGCTGGCTCACCTACCTGCTGACTGACTTGGGAGAGCGGCCTCGTTCTCCTCCAGTGCTGTACGTCGACAACAAGGCCGCCATTGCCTTGTGTCAGGAGCACAGACTGGAGCACAGAACGAAACACATCGCTCTCCGTTACTTTCTTGCTCGAGAGCTGCAGCAGCGTGGCCAGCTTCGTCTTACCTACGTGGCCACTCGGGCCAACACTGCTGATATATTCACCAAGGCACTTCCGCCTGGTGATCATCAGCGTTTCTGCACTTTGTTAGGCCTTGTGCCCACTCTTCCTCACTTGCTGTATGCTTTGTTTGTACCATGATTTATATGTATTTCTGCATGCTTGTTCTTGTAAGTAGATTTCACTGTACTGTTGTTGTTACATATATATCTCTGCATGTGAACTGGCCTTGTGGCCTTCTTGCTTGTGCTCAGACTGCGTGGTGACGTTGTGATCCACCCTGAGCTTGCTTTGCACTTCCTGACTGGTCTTGTGACCCTCTGTTCTCCCCCACTCTGCCTATGGGGGTGTGTCAAACATATGTATATCTATGTTATATTTTGGGTAGGCTTAGTGGGGTACACACTGTGGGGTACAACCCCTTAGGTTCATTTTTCCTTGTACCAACCTTCTCGATAGTCGACATCACTCATGCCTAGCTTCTAAGACCTATAACCGGGGCCATGCGGTATCTGATTCTGCTTGGAGTTCAGGGCGTGGTCTGGTTTGTCCTAGGTATTTGTTATTTAGTGCTGTACCGTGTGTTGCTGCACCTTTAGGTTAAGCGATGGGGGATGTATATTTGGATAATCTGATTTACCGTTCTTGATGGTGAAACAACTGAAGTCCCTATATTCTCACAATCTGAGATGTACTAAACCAATGCAGCAGTCTGCGGTGTGTATGTTTGCAGGGGTGGCCTTGCGTGGTTGCTGCTACGGTGCAGCGATGCCATGGCTGTTCATGCCCGGATGCTGGAATCTGGTGGAGGGAAGGCCACTGCACATATCCTGCAGAGATGCCTCCTGCCATAACCACCTCCATTGTATCACAATGCCCTGATTCATCCTTGACACTATTTGTAGCTGAAGTTACGGTACCTCACCACTAGACCAAACTTGTCCAAAAGCCAAAGAAATACCATACACTAGGTAAGATGTTGAACAGCAGCCCCCTGTAAATCACGCTGTACATATGCTATATAATTTGCCAATGTATAACCACTACGCCTGACAGATCCAAATACAGCCTGCCCTGTGTAAGTCCAAGTTAAATTAGATTCATGTTGTCTAGCACTCCTTGCAGAACAGAGAATCATTTGTACGCACTGCTGTAGTTATCTATATTTTCTCCGTGGTTGTCGGGGTGATGGCTCGATATACGCACGCCCTCCGCGCTCCTCAAAATGCCATCCCTGTTCGGCCTCGCATCTCGGCGCCTCCCACAATTCAAACTTCCAAACCCACGCCTCGATTTCGCCATTTCCGTCATTCGTAACCCTAGCTCACCTCGAACTCCTCTCCTCGCCTCTCGTCTCCCCGTTTCCCCGTCTCGCTGTCTGCCTAAACTAGCTTCCATCTCGTTTTTGGTGAAAGCGCTTCGTTGAAACTGCTTTAGCGTCGGCGTTTCACCTGAAAAGTTTTTTAGCATAGGCGTTTTAGCTGAAGCATTTGAATTAAATGGAGGAGTCTGATTTATTGGAGAAAGATCTGATCGACCGCGATAAATTTCGGGGCGGCGATCGACCGCCAGAAGCTGTTGATTCTGGAAAAGATGGCGCGAACGGAATAGCAACGAATAACGAAGACATTGCTATGGCGGACGCTGACGGCGAAGGCCATCTCGAGAACGGCGTTGCGGACGCGACCGACGCGGAGCCGGTCGCTGGACCGACGACTGCGGAGGGAGGAAAAGACGACGAAATGCGAGACGCGGAAGCGGTGAAAGACGACGGCGACGCGAGCGATTGTCGCGCGAATGACGTCGAGCGCGGCAACGCGGCCGCCGCGCCTGACGCAGCTGCGGCGTCGCCGGCAGGTGCGGATGAAAATGCGGATGGCGACGCGACGGATGTTGATGCTGGTGAGAATAAGCGAGCTGACGGCGTGGCTGACGGAGTTGACGGCGAGGGGGGAACGGAGGGCGCGGACGAGGAAGAAGGGAAGAGTGGCGAGGCGAAGGAGCAGCGGACTGAGACGCGCGCCGACGGTGGGGTGAAGGAAGAAACAGAGAAGGCGGAAGAGAAAGCGGGAGAAAAAATGGAGGAAAAAGCGGGGGAGGAAGCGGAAGGGAAAGCGGAGGGGAAAGCGGAGGTGGAAGCGGAGGAGGAAGCGGGGGAGAAAGCAGAGGCGCAAGGGACAGCGGAGGAGAAAGAGGAGGGGAAAGAGGAGGAGAAAGCGGAGGAGAAAGCGGAAGAAATTAAGGAGGAGAGAACGGAAGAGAAAATAAAAGAGAAAGCAGAAGCGGAAGCGAAAGTGGAAGGAGAAGCGGAAGGGGGTGCGGCGGAAGGAGTGGAGGCGGAAGGGATGGAAGCGGCAGGCGGGGAAGTGGCAGCAGAAGGGGCAACGGCGTCCGCGAGTGAAGCGGGTGAGAAGGCCCGCGACGAGGCGGAGAGGGGGAGCGCGGAGGAGGAAGAGGGGAAGGACGAGGGGGAGGGGACGGAGGGGACCGAAGAGAAGGAGGGGGAGGCGGAGAAGGAAGAGGAGGAAGGGGAGGAGGAGGGGGAAAAGGACGGGGAGGGGGAAGGGGAGAAGGAAGAGAAGGGTAAAGAGAGGAAAGCGGGGAAGGACGCGAAGGAGGGGAAGGGCGAAAAGGAAGCGGACGAGGAAAAGGGGCCGAAAGAGGGAAAGAAGGGCAAGGTGGGGAAGGAGGAGGTGCGGCGGAAGCAACGGGAAGACAGGCCCGGGCAGGGCGCGGACGGCAGCGACCAGCGCAAGGCAGCAAAGGGCGCGTCCCCCCATCTCCGCCCCCACGGCACGCCCGCCAAGGCCTCCGCCAAAGCCCCCCCTTCTCCCGCCACCCCCGCGGCTGGCAGGGCCCGCGCGGGGGAGGAGGAGAGCGGGGGGAGCGAGGACGAGGGGGAGTGGGCGCCAGTGGTGCACGAGCTGGTGTGGGCCAAGGTGCGCTCGCACCCCTGGTGGCCTGCGCGCGTGCTCTCCCCCTCCGAGGCCACCCCCCGGGCGCGCGCGCAGCACCGCACAGGACACCTGCTCATCGGCTTCTACGGCGACCAGACCTTGTGAGTGCCCTCGTCCTGCCCGCCCGCGCGCCTTCTGAGCCCCCTGCCGCCCGCCTTGTGAGTGCCCTGCTGCCTTGTGAGTGCCCTGCCGCCTTGTGAGTGCCCTGCTGCCCGCCCGCCTTGTGGGTCCCTGGGTGCTGTCGCAATCACCAATCATTCTTGCAATCACCACTGCTGCATGCGTGTGTGCTGCTGGCTGTGCGCTTGGGGCGTCTGGTTGACGCAGAGGGCGAGCGGACAGAGCAGCCTGAGGGAACCGCACGGGAGGCACCTCTATTGCTATTCCCCCCTCGCCTTATATCCGTCCCTCCTCCCAACCCTCTCCCTTCCGAACCTCCCCGTTTCCACCCCCCTTCCCCCCACAACAGCAACTGGTTGCGCCCCATGGATCTGCTACCATTTGCGGAACACTATTGGGACAAGTCACAGCAGACGCCCATGAAGCTCTTCTGCCAGGCCGTGGCGGAGGCACTGGTGGAGCTGGACGACCAGGTCGCCAAGGGGCTGCTGCACGGCGCCCCGCCCGCCACGCTCGCAGCACAGCACCGCCGCGTCAACCCCAGTACGTGCTAGTCCGCCCTCACTAACAGTAGCTCTTACTTGGGCCGTGGCGGAAGCGCTGGTGAAGCTGGACGAGCAGGTGGCCAGGGGCTGCTGCACGGCGCCAGGCCCGCCACGCTCGCCGCGCAGCACCGCCGCGTCAACCCCAGTACGCCCTGCCGTAGCCTGTCAACCCCAGTACGCCCTGCCGTAGCCTGTCAACCCCAGTACGCCCTGCCGTAGCCTGTCAACCCCAGTACGCCCTGCCGTAGCCTTTCTGCCCCCCTTACCAGGTGTTACTTAGGCTGTCAACCCTAGTATGCGCCAGTCTGCTCGCTGCTTTGGGGCCTTGCCCTGCCGTGACTATGGGCTTATTGCAATCTGTGTGTTGTCTTTCCTCTCTTCTTACCCTGCCTGCTCTCCGTTTCCCACCTCTCTCCGTTCACCTCCTCACTCTTCTCCTCGCCTCCTCACCTCTCCTCTCTTTTCCTCTCCTCCCCTCGCGTTCTCTCCTCCCTCCTGTCCCCCACCAGCCGTCATGCTATCCTACCTGCGAGCCACGGCCCGCAATCCCATCGGCGGGTGAGTTGCACTCGTCCCAACATCGCCCCATGCACCCTCCTCGCCGCACACACGTTGCACCGGCCCACCTAGTCTGCAACCCTCTGTGCCTTTCTCAGTCCCCCCTCTCTGCACTGCACTTGGTCCCTCTTCTTCCTCTTCCCTCCTCTCCCCACACCTTCTCCTCCCACTCCGTCCTCCTGTTTCTCCCCCTCCCCCCTCCCGATCCCCCATCCCTTTCCCCCTTTTCCTTCCCTCCCTCTTCCCCCCACAGGCACCGTGACGCACTGCTGGCAGCAGTGCTGCGGCAGCGGTTCATGGAAGGGGGGGGAGAGAAGGCGAAGGTGGGGCGGGGGGAGCAGGGCGCGCGCAGGCCGGACCTGGGGGAGATGTTTCTGGTGGAGGGGCGCCTGGTGGTGCCCGATGGGGAGGGGGGCGCGGGCGCTGGGGAGGGGGGCGCGGGCGCTGGGGCGGAGGGGAAGAAGAAGGGCGGAGAGAAAGGGGGGAAGCGGAGGGCGCATGTGGAGGAGGAAGAGGAGGAGGAGGAGGAGAAGGAGGAGGAGCACGAGGAGGAGAAGGAGGAGGAAGAGGAGGAGGAAGAAGAGGTGGTGGTGGTGAAAGAGAAGAAGAAGCGAGGGCGGAAGTGGGAGGAGGATGAGGAAGTTGAAATGGGTGAGGAGGAAGAGGAGGAGGACGAGGAAGATGGGAGGAGGAAGAAGGGGCGCAAGGGCAGGCAGAAGGGCGGAAAGAGGCGTGGGAGGAAGAGAAAGCACGAGGAGGACGAGGAGGAAGAGGAGCAAGAGGAGGAGGAGAAGGAGGAGCAAGAGGAGGAGGCGGGGGAGGAGGAGGCGGGGGAGGAGGAGGGTCTGAAGCGGAGGAAGAAGAAGATGAGAAGGCGCAAGTCGGAGGGGGGGGCTGGCGAGGAGAGGGAGGGGGAGGAGGGGAAGCGGCGGAGGAGGAAGAAGCGCGTGGTAGACGAGGAGGAGGGCGCGGAGGGGGCTGCAGGGGAGGAGGGAGCAGCGGACGAGGGAGCAGGGTGGGAGGAGGAGGAGAGGGCTGGAGCAGGAGTATCGGCAGGGAAGAAATTGGGGGAGGGAGAGGCGAAGGAGGGGGCGGAGGGGGCGGAGGAGCAGGGTGGGGAGGGCAAGTCGCCTGTGCAGTCGCCGCTGCGCTCGCCTGTGCAGTCGCCTAGGGCGGGTGGAACGGGGGGGCGGGGCAAGGGGCGGCCGAGCAACGCGCACAAGTGGGCGGTGGAGATGCAGCGGCTGGGCATCAAGGCTGCCGCTGAGAGCGCCCGCGACGACCTGCTGCGCCTCGCCAGGAGCCCGCTGGAGCTGTGCGTGTGAGGGGGGGGAGGAGGGGGGTGATGTGAGTGGGGGAGGGGGCATGTAAGTAGGGGCAATGCAGCATGTGGACGTCAGCACTGCATGGAGGCATGTGAGCACGTCAGCACTGCATGGAGGCATGTGAGCACACATATCACATGTCTCTCCTTTCATGTCCCGCATGTGCCTTTATCCCCCACCTGTCTGTCACAGGGCGGATTTGAGCGAGTCACTGAAGCCCGTGGCAGCATGGCGCCAGCACACCTTCTGGTTCGCCCGCTCGCACAAACCAGCACCGGCTGCAGCTGCTGCTGCTGCCAGCAAGGGTACGTGTTTCCTTTCTCCTCTACCCCCTTCCTCTTTCGTTGGTCGCTCGCTCCCTCCACCCACCACCCCGTCGCTCATTACTGTGCGCTCCTCTCCTTACCTTGCCGTCGATGCTGTCCTCCTCTTCTGCACGCCCTCTGTCCGCCCGCCAGGCGAGGCAAAGAAGGCCCCAGCAGGCAAGGCAGGCCCAGAGGCGACGGGTGAAAAGATAGCAGCGGTGGAAGAGGCGCAGAGAGAGGTGGGCGCGGAGGGAGGCGCGAGGGTGGAGGCAGAAGGGAAGGCTGCGGAGGAGAAGACGCCTGGCGAGGGTGCTGTGGGTGGCGCTGGGGGCGAGGAGGAGGAGAAGGGGAAGGAGGAGGAAAAGGCGAAGGAAGAGGTGGGTGGTGGTGAAGGTGCTGGTGAAGGTGCTGGTGACGATGCTGGTGATGGTGCTGGTCCGATGGAGGTGGAGGGAGGCAAAGAGAAGGAGAAGGAAGCGGGTGAGGAGGAGGAAAAGGGAGGAAAGGAAGGGGTAAGTGGGGAGAAGGAGCGTGAGGGTGAAGGGGCGAAGGAGGAGATGAGTGAGGGGGAGAAGAAGCAAGGCGAGCAGGTGAAGGAGAAGGGAGTGGAGGAGAAGGAGGAAGAGGGACTGGGAGTGATAACGGGCGAGGTGGAGGAGGAGGACAGGTGGGAGGAGGAGGCGGAGGAGGAAGAGCCGGTGCCGCGACCGCCACCCCCAGCGGCACCACCACGCAAGGCAGCAGCAGGGGCCGCAGGGGCAGCAGCAGGAGGGGAGGAGGGGGCGGGGGCGGCGGTGCGGCCGAGGGGGCGCACCAAGGCGGAGGTGAAGGCAAGGCGGCAGCAGCGGCTGGTGGACACCCGCCCTGGCAGTGAGAGCGAGGGGGGCGAGGGCGAGGAGGAGGAGGACGGGCGCAGCGATGACGAGAGGCCTGTGGCAGCAAGGGGCCGGGGGCGTGGGCGCGGGCGGGGGTCGAGAGGAGGGAGGGGCGGGCGCGGCAGGGGAGAGGCAGGAGGGGAGGCAGGGGGAAGAGAGGGGGTGAGTTTAACTGGGAGGGGGAGGGGGAGAGGGAGGGGGAGAGGCAGGGGCAGAGGCAGGGGGCTAGGAGGCGAGGGAGGAGGGATGGAGGGCGGAGGGGTGGAAGGGGGGGAGTGGGAGGGGAGGCAGCGCGAGGGAGGGGAGGCAGGGCAGGAGAGGGCACTGCGGCAGCGCAAGGCGGGGGTGCCCGCGCGTGTGGAGGGGGACGCTCTGAGCCCAGAGGGCCGGCGGCGGTCGCTGCAGCAGCTGGCCGCTGCTAAGAGAGAGGCGCGGGGCGGGGCAGGCGCTGATGGTGAGTGCAAATAAGGGAAGGGGATGGTGGAGGGGGTGCCTGGTGGGCGTCAGTGTGTGTGTGTGTGTGTGTGTGTGTGTGTGTGTGTGTGTGTGTGTGTGTGTGTGTTGATGAGGCGCTCAGCCCTTGGTAGTGTGTGTTGAGCTGACTGCACACACACCTGTGTGCTCTCTGCCCTGGCCTGCCTTGCATTGCCTCTCTCTTCCGCCTTGCCCCCGCGTGAGCTTGTCTCGCCTGGTAGCACGCCACACGGCACACGGCACCTCTACCCCCGCTCCATCCCCTTCCCCATTCCCCACCCTCTCGCTCTCTCCCTCTCCCTCCCTGTTCCCCCACTTCCTCTGCCCCTGCCCTTCTCTCCAGAATCGCCCCCCCATGCGCTAGCGCTGACAACACAAGATGCCACGTCAGTCCCACCTGGATGGCAGCAGGTGCGTGTTGTGCTCTTTCTGTGGCGCGCTGAATTGGTTGTTGCATGATGTGGCGTGTGGCATGGCATGGTGTGGCATGCTGTTGCATGGTGTAACAGCGTGGCATAGTGCGGTGTGGTGTGGGATGGTGGGGTGCGGGATGGTGTGGTGGTGTAGTGGGACGTGGATGGAGATGAAGCAGCAGAGTCTGTTCAATACAATATCATGGTGTATCTCATCCTTGGATCATGCATTCCCTTACATCTCTCTCTCACCCTCCACCTCTCTCTCTCTCTCCCGTCCCTCACTCCCACCCCTAAAGCCCCACTCCCATCCCCAGCAGCAGCAGGGGCAGGGTCAGCTGGGTTGGCAACAGGGCTGGCAACAGGGCGGGCAGCAGAGCGGGCAGCAGCAGCAGCAGCAGCAGGGGGGCGGGCAGCAGCAGCAGCAGCAACAGCAGGGGGGCGGGCAGCAGCAGGGGGGCGGGCAGCAGCAGCAGCAGCAGGGGCAGGGCGGCGGGGGCCAGCAGGTGCTGAGCATGCGCTTCCCAAAGCTCATGCCGGCGCCCTCCGTGGCGCAGCTGCGCGCCACCTTCGCTCGCTTCGGCGCTCTGCTGGGTGCCAAGCTCATCAAATACCAGGGCGTTGCTGAGGTGAGGGGGAAGGGGTGTCGCTGCGGTGAGGGGGAAGGGGTGTCGCTGCGGTGAGGGGGGCGTTACTGAGGTGAGGATTGGGGGGTCGTCGCCAATGTAACTGGTGCTCTTTTCCAATCGTGCCATCCCTTCGCTCCCACGCAACCATGCCCCTGCCCGTCCCGCAACCCCTCCCCTCCTCCCATGCGCGGAGGCGGTGTTGAGGACCCATCATGAGCCACAGCATGTTTGAGGTGCCTCAAAAGTCATCTCCCCAACCGTCCCCCCCCCTTCCACTCGCCAAGCGCCAGGTGGTATTCGAGGACCCGTCGTCAGCCACAGCAGCCATGCCCCCCTCCCCTCTCCCCTGCCCGTCCCCCATCCCCTCCCCCTCCCCCTCCCCCTCCCCCTCCCCCTCCCCTCCCCTCCCCCTCCCCTCCCCTCCCCTCCCCTCCCCTCCCCCCACCATGCGGCAGGTGGTATTCGAGGACCCGTCGTCAGCGACAGCAGCGATGCACGAGGCCATGCACGGCTCCTCGCTCTTTGGCTCATGGGACGTGCAGTTCCGCCTCCGCCCCTACACCGCCTCCGTCAGTGCCCCCCCCCTCCCCCCCTTCCCCTTGCTTGCTCTCGCTCTTCCTTTCCTCCGCTCTCCTCGCCTCTCTGCTCCACGCTTCCATTGTTTCCTCTCAAAGGTCGTCCATGTCACTGCTCTCTGCATTCCGCCCTCTGCCTCTCCACATGCACCTCCCCTCACCTCCCCCTTTGAACCACCTCGTCACCTCTCCTCTTCACGTTCGTCTCCTCTCTCATCTCTCTTATTGCTCCCTGCTCCTCTCCCCTGCCCCCTCTTCCCCCCTCCCCTTCTCTCCCGCTACCAGATTGACTCTGCAGTCCCCATCAGGCCCACATATCCCTCCGCCCACACCCCCCCACCCTCCGCCCACGGCCCCCCTCCCTCCGCCCGCACCCCCCCTGCGCGCCTTCCCCCCGCGGCCTCCCCTGCCCCCACTCCCCCGCGTGCCCTCGCCCCTCCTCCGGCTGGTGCTGCCCTCGTGCCCGCCGCCGCTGCTGGCCGCCTCACGCCCTCCCAGCGCCACAGCCTGGTGCGTGCCAATGCGTGCTGTCGCTTGGATCACCGTCTCACTGCCGTCACTCGGGCACACCCGTGTCTGTTGCTATCCTTCAGACACCTCTCTTCACTCCTTTTCTCTCTCTCCTCGCTCCCCACCGTTGCCTCTCACCGGATTCCCCCCTCGTCTCCCTCCTGCCAGCAACTCATTCATTCCACCCTCTGCTTCCCACCTCCACCTCTGCCTCGCCCCTCTCTACACTTCTCCTCTCCTCCTTATCTTCTCCCCACTCGCCTCTTTCCCCCGCCCTCTCCCTCCCCTCCCTCCAGGCGAATCCAGCGCAGGCAGCGCAGAGGCCGGGCAGTGCAGCCTGGATGGGCACGCCCACCACGCTGGGTCCGTCCACGCGCTCGCTGCTGCCACGCTCCGCCCTCGTGCTCTCCAAGGACCCGCGCCGCCAGCAACACGCCCCCGCCGCTGCCGCCACTTCTCCTGGCGCTGCTGGTGGCGGGGGGGGTATGGGCGGGGGGGGTATGGGCGGAGGGGGTATGGGCGGAGGGGGTATGGGCGGAGGGGGTATGGGCGGAGGGGGTATGGGCGGACAGCAAGGCAGGGAGGGGTTGCCTCCTGGGTTTGCAGCAGGGGCTGGGGGAGCGGGGGATGCAGGAGGGGATGGGGGAGCAGGAGGCGGCGATTGGTGGGATGCACAGGACGCCCTCCCCACGCCCCCTGTGGAGCCCACTCACCCTTCACAGCCATCCGCACCCCCTCCCACACACCCGCCCGCCGCTCCACCTTCCCTCCCTTCTACCCCTGCCCCTCTGCCCACATTCTCCCCTGCCCCTGCTGCTGCCACTGACGGCGCTGCTGGTGCCATGGTTGCTGGTGGAGGGGCCGTGGAAGGGAGTGGGCAGTCAGGGGGAGCAGGGGTGGTGCCGGACATAAAGCAGAGCATGTTCAGCCTGCTGAGCAAGGTGCAGGCCATCGTGTCCCAGCCCGAGGGGGAGGGGCGTGCGGCACAGGGGGCAGACGCCAATGCGTGAAGCATGTGGAAGGCTACGGGGTCCTCATGCTGTGCAACAACGACCGCTGTTGGATAACCCGCTGCTGCCATGCCTCTCACACTTCTCCCCTGCTTCCGCTGCTCTCTAACTCCTCTGCTCGGCTCGTGCCGGACCGGAACCCCCTCCATCTCGCTTTCTGCTCTCTCCTCTCCTCCCTGCTCCTGCCGACTGCCCACTGCCCACTGCCCACAGCCGTGTTGTGTGGCCCCTCTGGTGCCCCCAGTGTGTGCAGTGGGCACGCTGCCGCTTGTCACATGTGCGCTGCCTTAGTACCTCATTAATCACAGCCTCTCATCACTCTGCCTGCCCTTTAGTGCTGTGGCTCACTGCGCTTCCCTGTGCCAGCCTGCCAGAACACTATGCACGACGTGCACTTCCCTTAATGGATTCTCTAGTAACTACTAGCGCGTAATCTACTAGTAGTGTGTAATGTGTGGTGGTGGTGGCTTGCATTTCATGTGGATGTGGCTGTGTGCACGTCGCATTCTTCAGGTGTGCTGAGCGCATGGGTCTGCTCTAAAGATTCTTCTCGTCTTGTTCTGCTGATTTGGGCATTCTGCTGACCTCCTTTTACTTCCACCTAACAACTAGCTGCACTTTTTTAACCTACTTAATTGCACTGTGTAGAGCAAAGAGTTTTGTTGCAGTGAAGCACCTGTACTGTACAAGGCAATCTATACGTGAATGGGTAGACAATCCGTCTGAATTGAAATTGTGTACACAAGCTGTATTAATGTACCAATAAAATCGCTGTTCCAAGCAGAGATGGTGTCCCAAAATGGCAAATTGTTATGCCATCACCATCACTTCACACTAGACAAAGCATGTGTTCACCATGCAACAAAAACAAGTTGCACATAAGAATGCTGCTTTCACAGCAACGAATTAACAACACAAAAGGTGGTTGCTCCCAGCGAGGCATGAGGTGAGGACGACTCAGGGGAAGAGGCGGACGTGCTGGCGCGGCACCACAGCCGAGTCGAGAGCGGCGGGCGGGGGGAAGGCGGGCGGGGGGAAGGCGGGCAGGGCGTGGGGGTCTGCTGGGTGGTGCTGGTGGTGCGGCAGGTGTGGCGACACAAGTGAGAGGAAGGTGAGCGGGCCCCACCCCTTCTTGCCCATGGCTGCTGCTGTCGCATCCTGCACCCCGCACAGGAGGAGGGGGGGAAAAGAGAGGAAAGACCTTGTTTAAGGTAAGCAAAGGAGGGCATGATAAGCAGGGAGAAGAAAGGACCAACGGGAAAGCACGACGGGCCACAAACAGACTCGTGAAGTGCCTCGATCAGGGGCGTGGAGTGGGAGGAGTGGACGGGGTAAGTGGGGCGAGCAGCAGAGAGCAGAGCGAGGAGGGAGCAGGATGACTGACCTCGCTGGACAGCCGCTCGGGCTTGCTGCGTTGAGGCGACCGCATCCCACGATTATTATGCGCCCTTCCTGCTGCGGCGGCGGCTGCTACAGCAGCATGCCCCCCCAGCTGTGCCTCTATCTGGGCCTCTATCTCAGCCTGCGCCTGTGCCTCCGCCTCTGCTTGCGCCTGCGCCTGTGCATGCGCCTGTGTATGCCCCTGTGCCTGGGCGTGCACGTGGGCGTGGGGTATTCTGCCGTCCCCGCCAGCGCCGCCAGTGCTGGTCGCGCCCGCCTCGGCCATGGCGCTCACGCGGAACGGCAGGCCTGTCAGCGCCACGCGCCCTGTGGGCCCCGCATACAGCACCCCCGCCCCACCCCCCGCCCCGCCCCTCTGCTGCTCCGCCGCCCCTGGCGCCGCTGCTTCCGCGCCTGGCGCTGCTGCGCCGGGAGGCGCTCTGGTTGCGCCCGCGGGGTCGTTGGGCGCGTTGCTGCGGTCGCGCGCATTGGTGGCATTGCCCGCCGCCAGCCGCTGCTGCTGCTGCTGCAGCGCCATCAGCTTTTGACCCACCTCCGCCGTCACACCCGCCCTCATCGCCGCCAGGTGCTCCTGCCCCTCTTGCGCCTGCCGCTGCTGTTGTTGTTGCTGGTACTGCCGCAGTTGCTGTTGCACCAGTACGGGTACGAACTGCGTTTCATCTTTCACTCTTCGGAACATTGTAGATGGGAACGGCGTGTCATCTCCCCACACGTTACTGAATCCGCGCTTCCCCAGCACTCCCCCGCCTTCCTTTCCCGCCGTGCCCCCACCGTCCTTCTTCGACCCTTCCGCCTGCCTCCCCTCCGCCACTTTACCCCTCTGCGCGCGCACGCCATCGGCGGGGGCGGGGCGCGGGGCAGAGGGGAACAGTTGCAGTTCCACCAGACTCGACACGCGCGCGGACGGGGACAGCCCTTCCGCCGTCCCGTGCCCGGCTCCCCCGCCCTGCCCGCCCAGAACTGCCGCCCAACGCGGCAGCGCCGACGTCGCCCCGCCCACGTTCCCCTTCCCCGCAGCCGCTTGCTCCGGCGCCCCCGCCGCAGGGGGACGCGTTCCCTTCTCTTCCGCCGGCACGTCCTTGGGGAACGGCGGCTGCACGCCTTCCGCCTGCATGGCGTGCGCGGCGGCGGCGGCGTCCCCCGCGAGAATGGCTTCCGCGGCCTGGATGGTGGCGGGGGAAGGGAAGTACGGCACCATCTGGTCGTTCCACGGGACCACGCCTGGCGCAACCCCGCCCGCACCGCCCCCCCCGTCCGCGCCGTCCGCCCTCCCCGCCGCCAGTTCCGCCGGGTCTCCATCCGCGACTTGCTTTTTCGCCTCCCCGCACTCCCCCTCCGCCGGTCCTCGCGCTGCCTTCCCCGCCCTGTCCGCCGCCATCACCGCCGCCGCCGCCGCCTCCATCTGCACGGCCAGGGGGAGCTCCTCCCCGCCTACGCGCACCCCCTGCGCCTCCCCCTCCCCGTTATCCGCAGGCCCGCGCCACGGCCCGACCCCGCTGGCGGCGGCGGAGTCGCACGACGCGCTGCGCGCCAACCCCCCTGCGCCGCCCCTGGCGCTGGCCGCCAGCGTGCTGTGCGACGCGGCGGGGGCGGAGGCGCCGTTGGCGCAGCTGAGCTCGGGGCGCACGAGCGCGGTGTGCACGCGCATGGGCAGGCGGTGGTCGGGCGCGCGCGAAAACGCGACGAGCACCTCCTCCGTGTCGCCCAGCCCTTCGTCGCACCCGTTGGCGGCCGCCGCCTTCAGCGCCGCCTCGCGCTGCCACATCGTATCCACCGCCTCCTGCAGCCGCTGCCGCGCCGTGAGCACATCAAGCACCGGCCGCGGGTAATTCGCGCCGAGCTCCACCCCCGCCATGCGCAGCACGACGGGCGGCGCGTCCCACGGGTGGTGGATCCAATCCGTGGGCACGCGCGCGAGCTCGGGCACCCAGCGCCGCACATACTCCCCCTCGGGGTCGAAGCGGTAGCCGTCCTCCTCGGGATCGTCCATGCGATCCAGCTCGTG